CACCAGTGGCCTCTCCTTTTCAGTTTCCTTCACTGACTCTTCCTCTTCTATCTGCTTCTAACTATAGAGCACCCATTACCCTTGCTGGATCCCCCTTCCCTTCTCCTATCTCTCCCTACATTAGGGGTGTCGAACTCAATCAGAGAAGGGGCCAAAATCTAAAATCCAGCCTAAATCGCAGGCCAAATGGTTTACTGAACAGTCATAAACTGTCATTGTGATGGAAACGCAGCGGAGTGCAGTGATAACAGCGCGGTGCGGGCCACATTGCAAGGCCTGGCGGGACGGATTTGGCCCGCGGGCCTTGTGTTTGACACATGTGCCCTACATGATCTCACTTATGCTCATGGTGTTAAATTCCACATATGTGCTCATTATTCCCACTGGTTTGGCTCAGTGGATAGAGCATTGGCCTGGGACTGAAGTAATGAAAGAGAATATTTTATTTAAATAAATAATGTCTCATCTTTCTGTATTTCCAAATAACCAACCTCAGATGAGATAAAACAGCTACATACATTGGCATGAGATGAATACTTAAATTTAAAAATGCTAAGTCAAGTCAATATCTTCCCCTGTGGTCACAGAAGCTGCCACGTTTTTATAAATTGCCTACATTCCCACACCCCATCTGGTGATGCTGGTATGATGCAGCCATGGATGACTTACTCTTCACAATAGTCCCACATTGATCTAGTCCCTACTTTAAAATGAAAAAAAAAAATAAAATAAAATAAAATAAAATAAAATAAAATAAAAATAAAAAAATAAAATATATATATATATATGTGTGTGTGTGTGTGTGTGTGTACATATATATATATATATATATATATATATATATATATATATATATATATATATGTATATTTTAAAGTGACAGAGCTTGCCTAAAACTCTCCCACACAACCAGAGCAGCAACTCAAGCGCATAATGCTGATTCCTCAATTTACTAGTAGCTGCAGGACCAAAGAAGGGGTCAAAAGAGGAGGACTGCCTGGATTGCAGAAAGATGTTTAACCAGCAGTTTTAATAACTGCACCTCTGGTCTTTGTGTTAATTTTGATCCTATTTTTTCCCCAAACCTTTCCTAAGGCCTCTTCTACCAGTCAAAGTGAGCTAGGTTTCACACACTGTTAGAAAAAGAGAGGACTGATGGAACCTGAGTACTGTATAGAGGGAAGCTGAGAGCCTTTTTCATACGTGATGATCTGCCTAAGTGAGTTAGGGTCCCTGATAACCACACAGGGAGACTCTCATTGTAATGTGGCCATGGTCTCTAAGGCATAGTGGTTTTGTGTGTGTACACAGAGGCAGCTTTTCCTCACCTTTTTGTCCTAAAAAAAAGTTTGTCCTTGGCCTCTCTTATGCTTGAAGCTTAGGGTTGCCCTATTGACAAGGGGGAAATTGTCTGGATTATATCTCTTCCTCAAAAATAAACATTTTTCAATTGCCATAGTGTTTTAAAATATGTCTTCTTTTTCTGCTAGTATGCCTTCCCTATCATACTTCCCTGGATAAATAGTTTGTGCTATAATATTTATTAACAAGGGACCCTCTGGACCAACAATAACTTTGGGAGTTCTGCTGGGCATTTGGTATGCTGTCCAGCTGAGTCCCCAACCACACTGTGAGTCAATACAAACACAGCAGATGGTGAGTAGAGACAACAGTTCTCCTAGCATGCTGCAGCTATGACCCTCAGCTCAGCCTCTGAGTCACCGATTCTGAGACTTGAGCTAGAACTTTTTATTTTTTTATTTAAAAAAATATTTTATTGACTTTTTACAGAGAGAAAGGGAGAGGGAGAGTTAGTCAGAACATCAATAAGAAAGAAACATCCATCAGTTGCCTCCTGCACCCCCACATTGGAGATGTGCCTGCAACCAAGGTACATGCCCTTGTCTGAAATCGAACCCAGGACACCTCAGTTCACAGGCTGACGCTCTATCCACTAAGCCAAACCAGTCATAGCCAGAACTAAATTATTCTTGAAGTCCATGAGACGAAGGTGGAACAAAGGGGTTATTATTATTTTTTTTAATCTTATTTAAGTAGTAAGGTGACAGAGCTAGAATTTTTTAAAAGAAGGTATTCTGAAAGAGAGATCATTGTCAGTTGAGTCTTGCAAAAATCCTCTTTCCATGTGCTCTACTAGTCCACCTTGGCATAAGCCATTCCCTGTGCAGTGTCTGTCATCCTACATCCATGCTTTCTCGCCATGGCCTGAACACTGTTCAGGGGTTCAGCTTAGATCAATACTGTGTGCTTTGTCATGCACCATTATTTCACTCACCATGCATTTCCATTTGATAGATGCTGAGGTTGTTCATGATGCAGAGCCGACTTGCTGCACGTACTATTTCCTTTGCCCTCCTTTGGTAACTTCCCAAGTTCACAGTCAGTAGTACTCAGTCATGCATGTATGCAAACCCTTAGACAACTTGGCAATTAAAACCCTGCCAACTGAATAGCTTGTATTTCCATTCAATAATCTCTTCACTCACTCATACTAAGTGTTCATTACACAGCTCAGTGTTAACAGCCCTTTAACTTGTCTCATCATGTTGTACATAACAGCACTCGCATTCTAAACTAAGCTCTAACACAATAGTATAGGGTGTCGAACTCAATCAGAGAAGGGGCCAAAATTTAAAATCCAGCCTAAATCGCGGGCCGAATGGTTTACTGAACAGTCATAAACTGTCATTGTGATGGAAACGCAGCAGAGTGCAGTGATGACAGCGCTGTGCAGGCCACATTGCAAGGCCTGGCAGGACGGATTTGGCCCACGGGCCTTGTGTTTGACACATGTGCAATAGTACTATGGAAATAATAAATAGTCATCTTAACTATGGTATCTCTAGCCATGGTGAATATGACAGATGCAGTACAGGGTGGGGCAAAAGTAGGTTACAGTTGTTTGTATGGAAAATAATATAAAGATCTATCTATATAAAAGCCCAGCAACCAAAGCGGCAGAATGACTGGAATGACTAGTGGTTATGATGTGCACTGCAACTGGCAACCAGCCTGATCTAGGCCCCAATCAACCCCCACACTGCCCCTCAAGCCAGCCTGGCCCCCAATTGGCCCCCAACACTCAAATTGGGGGCAGGGCCAGCAGACCAACTGCCCATGTTCCTCCCCTTGCTGGTACACCCCAATGGGCTCCCATACATGCAGGATTGTCAGACCTCACCCATGCACGAATTCATGCACCAAGCCTCTAGTTAATAAATAATAATACAAGAATAAACTATGTCATGAACTGCAAACTTATTTTTGCCCCACCCTTTATTTACCCAAATCCTTGCCTCTATACCCATTTTCAGTTTCCAATAAAGACTCACCACAAGCCCCAGAAAGTCAGAGGTGCACAGGGTGTGGCACTGGGCTATGATGACCCAAGTTGTTATAGGAACATCTGCTCAAATACTAAATTTACCGCTTAGTTGGTTTAGGAACTCTCTTCTTTTAGCCCCCCAAACTATCTCATGGTCCTTTTTACTTATTTTTTGTTGTTATTATTAATCCTCACCCAAGGATACTTTTTCCATTGATTTTTAGAGACAGTGAAAGGAAGGGATGGAGAGATAGCGAGTGAGAAAAACATTGGTGTGAGAGAGAAACATCAAATGGTTGCCTTCCATATGCAACTTGGTTGGGGGGGAGGGGGGGTAGAGGTAGAATAAACCTGCAACCCTGATAGGTGTCCTTGATGGGAATCAAATATTTGGTGTGAAGGTCAATACTCTACCACTGAGCCACATTAGCCAGGGTTTGTGTTTTGTTTTGTTTTGTTTTGTTTTCTTTTTTAAATCTACACAACTGCCTTCCCCAAAGCACACTAGAGTAGATCCATGTTTTCTGCCATTGTCTCCTCAATTAGTCCTTTTTCTTTAGGGCTGACTCTATGTTTGGAAATTTGGCATGCTTTCAGCCTCATTCCTTTGATGAAACTAAGTAAAAGTAGTAAGTGTGTTAGCTCAGAACCCAAGAACTAGGGGGCACCTATGGAATTGTGTCAGGGCAGGAAAGAGCATGGATAATGCAAGTTTTTGTTGGTGGCTATGAATGCTACTGGCATGGAGGACCAGTCTGTCCTGGCAGCTGGGCCCACCACTCCCCTTTCACAAAGGAAAGAAAGTGAGGCTTTTCCATCTTCTTAGCAGCATAGACCCAACCCAGAAGATAGGATCATCTCACTCTCTTCCACTTGAGGTAGATTGGGGAGGGTCTCACTCCTAAGGAGGCTTCCTGCAGCTCTCCCCTCCCCTCTGATGGAAAGATAAAGGCCTTTACTTCGCTGTGGAAGATGAGACAGAGAATTTCCTTATGCCACCACATCCTGTCCTGGGAGACTAATGCCAAGTTGGAGATTAATATAAGATGAATTCCACAGCTGTATAGTTCTAAAATACATAATCTGAACTTCTTATAAGCACTGAAGCATCTACATTCTACTTTTTTCTAAGTCCTGTCATCAAAAAAACACACAAAACATTTATCTTATCCCTATCTCTGACCTTTATCCCAACCCTACTCCAAACCAGGAATCTTGAGTGAAATATTTTTTCCCTATTTCAGAAGAGAATAATTAGAAGTGCTTTTTATTTGTGCACAGAAAAAATAGAAAAAAATGAAGAGGGGCTTCTATTCAGATTCTTTTAAACTGATAACCAATCCAAGTTTTTCTAGCATTTTCCTCTTTATCTGGATATTATTGGATGAAAGCAAAAATTACCATTACTTTGTTTTTTTTATAAATAGACTTCTACCAGCAAAGGCATAAGATTATTCTCTTCTCAGCATAAAAATTTCTGGTTTTGGCCTCTCCATGTTCTAATTGAGGCCCCACAGCTATTCCAGCAAGCAAAGGAAATCAAAGAAGATTTCCAGTGACAGCAATAACTTTACATTCTACCCACAGTGCGCTCTCTCTCTCTTTCTCTCTCTCCCTCTCTCTCTCTCTCTCTCTCTCTCTCTCTCTCTCTCTCTCTCTCTCTCTCTTTCTCTCTCTCTCTCTCTCTCCAAATCTTTACTATGAAATCAGCAGTTCCAGGAGAGCAGAGGTAAGTCACCCCCTCTAAATACTGGTGCTCAACATCAGGACACTGAACACATTTTCACTCTCTGTGGTAGATCTCCTCAGATGACTGTGATCTTCTGTGAGCCTGTGATTTACTAGAGAAAAAATAGAGAGGAAGAAAGAAAAATAGGAGGGAAAAAAGGAAAAATAAATAGTTGAAATACAGCAAATAACCCATTACGTTGTCAGTCTGGTGTGCTATAGGCTGCATTCCACCACACACACACACACACACACACACACACACACACACACAGTGATGTGTTGTTCAGTATAAGGAATCACAGCTTGTTAGCAGCCCCTTTGGCTGAATTCTACCTCTCAGACAGAAGTTGAATAGGGCAGAATTTGGATCCTAAAGGTCAGGGTAGGATTAAGAGGAAGAACCAAGGACCACAGACTTAGCCCATTTCAATTAGTATAGAAGGACCCAGAGGACAAGGACCATAGCAGCTAGCAAATACTTGCTAAGCACTAAGTAACTGCTCTCACTTGTAGGAGTTCAGGGGAGCAAAGAGATGGCTGATGTTGACCTAAGCAGGCCCTCACACCCTCTTATTCATAAGAGACCACTGTGAGCAATTACCAAGGAGGAGAGCCATTGAATGTCCATTCTGTTCCTGGATAAAGGACAAGGAACAGAAGACTGTCAGAGCCATTCAATCACAGGTGACACCTGGCCACAGGCTTTGTCTTGTCCCCTGAGAACAACACTGTAATAAGCCTTTGCTGCACTGCATGGTTTATTCTTTGTTTGACTAATGATCTCTTACCCAGTAGTCTTCAACCCCAGCTGCACATAGAATTACCTAGGAAGCTTTTTAAAAATTCTTATTCCCAGGCCCCACCCCAGATAGTCTCTCTGGGGGTAGCACCCAGGCTTCGGTACTTTTGAAAACTCCCTAGGTGATCCCGATGTGGGGCCAAGATTGGGAATCAGAACCACTGCCTGAAAATAACTGTCCTAATTTCCTCTCCAATTTTTCTCTGCCTTCACATTCTCTTATCTAAGTTGTTATAGTTCCCTTCTTTTTTAGTTTGATCTACTCTGTTCTTTGAGCAGATAAGTCTATAATACGCTAGTAAACCTTTTTCCATGCTTTAACTTTGCTTTTTCTCATCTAATTTTCATTGCCCACTTCACTTCCTTTGTCTTCCCATTATGTTTATTTTGTGTTGTGTTTTTTTCCAGTCCAGCATCTACATTTATGATGTGTTCTATATGGGCAGAATACAATAGTAGGCACTTAAATGCCACTAAGAATTACATCAATGCAATAATGTTTCCTGTTAAATTCTGCGTGACAGTTATGGGCTCTTGTCCTGTGGAAGAGTGGCATTTTAGCAAAGACTATCTCCCTTCCTAGGAATAAACTCTCTTGATATATAAATAAAAGATCCAAAGTAAATATATTTCAATAAACAATAAAAAGAACTTTTACAAATAGAGTAAGAAACCATCAAAAATTATGGTTTCTTTTACCTTGATTTTGTTTTTCAGGAAACAAGCTAGATGCCTGTTGGAGCAACAATAAAAGTTGTTCCTTTTAGTAGAAGCAAAATTTTACAGTGCCAAATGACAAAATGGGAAATTAATGACCATACCATATACTGGCTTAAAGTGAGCCAAGATGGCTTCCTGAAATTATATATCAACAAGGAGACATCTATGGCTCTGGTCTCCAGAGCAACTTTACTCATAGTAGATGCCAATTCTCCTTGGAGAGTCAAAACCGCCATGGAAGAGGAGGGGGTCTTCTTACTGTGCTGCTCTATGGGTGGTGCTGCTCCTCTGCTTCCAAATAGGCCACAAATCAAATCCTGCCCCTAGCAGCTTCCACACTGTCAGGTGACCTCCAGTGCCAGCCTAACTGTAGATCAATCACAAAGTGTACTCACATCCATTATTTCATGACCACATGAAGTGATATTATCCCAATTTTATTGTTTAGAAAACTGATGTCTTGAGAGGTTAAGTGATGGTATCAGGCACAAATCCAGATTTTCCAAGCCTTTTCTAAGTACAGTGGTCTCTGAACTAGAGCATAACTACTTCTTGAGAACTAGAGAAGGCACTGGAAAAAAAAGGACCACCCCCCAAGTTCCAGGACCCCATCCAGCCCAATCTTATAGGTAGTGTTCTGTTTAAGTCTTGTCTGAGAAAAGGTAGGGTTACCCAGCTGCCTGCTCTTAACAGTCTGTGAAAATTCAAAGAAAATGGAGGATGAGCTCAAAGAACTCATTTGAAGAACAGAAAAGCAGCTCCTCTGCTTGAGATTATGGGATGTGAAAGCTGAAACATAAATTCAAGGGCTTGCTAAGGGCCCCAAGACATCAAATATTTTTCTTTCTTTTTTCAATAAACACATCTTCCTCCATTTCTATGTAATTCATTGGTTGATTTGCCTGGGACCCGTAAGCAGCACTGTGGCCCTGAAAATGAAATATTAATGACCTCAGCATTACAGCCATCTCTAGACATCTTACACAAAAGCAGAAAGCATTTGAGGCAGTTTGTGTATTAGGGTCTCTTTCTTAATCCTCCTCTGTCTGGTCAGGCTGAAGGAAACAGAAGTTTCTATAATGATATAGTCTATCTTTAAAGCCACAACCCAAAAACCTGGGGTCCTTCCTATGGTCATGACCTTGGGAATGAGCTCCTTACTAGTCTTCCTTTGCTCTCCTTGTATGTTGTAGACAACAACTCACATTCAAGTCAGGCATCCTGTGGGCAGAAAAAATCATTTCATTTCAATCAGCACTTTTGAGGAGCAGTATGAGTTCTACAAGGAGTTTGGAGGGATTACCCAAGAGATAAAGACAGGCCGAGTAACAAGTGTGAGGCAGCACTTATATATCATAAAGCACTACATGCAAAGGCAACTTCAAAATTTCTACAGGCAAGGGGCTGAAGAGTAGTGATCTCATTGGAAGATGCCTTAGGAACTTGCCTGAGGCTGTATTTTCAAAATAGGAAGATGTCAAAATGGGAAGCTGATGGAGATGATGGGGAAGGAAGGATAAATCCCTCCAAACCACTTTGCCTCTGCTATTGACCACTCAAGTCTCAAATATCCTTGTTTTTATAAAAAATATATCAAGGAGGAAACTAACAAATAGCCAAGTAATGAGACAAGTGTTTGCAAATATTATCTCATTTATCCCTCACAGGCTGAAATAAACATTAGTTCTCCTGGGAAATCACATGAAATAAAAGTCATCCCCCAGGTCATGGGAAGATGTGGCTAATTGCTGTCCCTGATATAGAAAGAACCAGCACAAGGAACAGCCTGCACAGAGCCTGAGAAAGGTAGAGTCCAAAGGCAAAGCCCTGGCATACTTTCCTATCTTCCATCTGGGCACCCCAAGATAGGCTACATTTGTGTTCAAATTCTATCTTGCTCCTGCCATGTGACCTGACCAAGGCCAAGGTATGCTGCAGGTCCTGACTCTCCCAGACCAGGCAAGGCATGGCTTCTAGACATCCACTGCCCTAAGCTTCTACACCATCATAACTGATTCCCTCTCCACTACTGTCTTCTATCTCTGGCTTTGATTTATTATTAACATTGACTCACTCCTAGTCAGGCCTTAAGGAAGGTTGCCTTTGCCCATTAGCAATCAACTCTTAAAATTGCTTCTAACCTGTAGCAGATATAAGTCATAATCATAAACATAAGCACATTCTTGGGATTTTTCAGAATTACTTGCTGAATAATTTGGGAGAACTCAAGAGCAATTATCTAAGAAGACAGGCTTCTTTGAGCCTAGCTAATTGTTCTCTTGCTTTTAGTGCAATTTTAAGCCCACAACACTTCCTCCTGCCTCAGAGCTTTTTCTTACATGAACTTGTTTTTTTATATAGAATAATCTTTCCCTATACATGTCCCCTGATACCTGGTGTATCAGGCAGAGGATACTCTTGGAGTGGTGATTTGAGAGAATCTAATGAAAGTGGCATTTACAAAGGTATGGGCAGGTGTTATGGATTAAATTATGTCTCTAAAAAAAAGAAAAGATATGTTGAGTTGTCACCTCCAGGGGCTTGGAAATTGACCTTATTTGCAAATAGGGTCATTGAAATTAATATAATTGGTTAAGATGAGGTCAGCTCACATAGAGTGGGCCCCAAAAACAATATGACCAACATCTTTATGAAAAACAGTCATGCGAAAACAGAGATGGAGAGAGAACACAGTGTGACCAGGAAGGCAGGGACTGAAGTGACACACCAAAAGCCAAGCCAAGAACACCAAAGATTTGCAGCAAAGCACCAGAAGTTCAAAAAGGGACAAGAAAGAATCCCCCTACAGGTTTCAGCCCTGCTGACACCTTGATTTTGGACTTCTAGCCTCCAGAACTGTGAGGCATTACATTTCTATTATTTTAAGCCACCCAGTTTGTGGTTCTTTTAAGGCAGTCAGAGAAAACTAATGCAGCTGGGTTGTGGGAAACGAAAATATGATAAAACATCCTGGGTCTGACAACAAAGAAGCCACTGCCACCTAGTCCTGAAGCATGATGTAGAGGAGCTGTTACTGGATGCTGCAGGTGTAGGAGAGAAGCTATAGCCTGCAGTTGAGGAAAGCAGCCTCTGCCAATATGCATTTCTGCAGGAAGTAATGGGGGGTAATAACAACATACCTCATTCTCCTCCTCTCCAATCTTAGTACCTCCCAATGGCATACCAGAGAGCAAGGGAACCAGGTGGATGTTGTCCATTAAGGTCAGCCTCCTAGAGTAAGAAATAGAGTAAACCTGAAGGGACAAAAAGACTCCATCTAGCATAGATGGGTAACTTCTTCTTTGGAATCATATCTGCAAAGTCACTTCTTTAGGGAAGCCTTCCCTTACCAGATCCTGGCCCCAGCAACATGGTCTCATATTACTTCTGCTTCTGCGCAGTACTTATAACAGCTGCAGTGGAGGAATTCATTATGCAAATTATGCATTAAGTGATGAGGTCTCATGCTAGAACATAAGTTTTATAAGAGGAGAGATAACATCTGTCATTTACCAGTGAGTCTTTAGGATCTAGTGTGTAGTAAAAATGACAAAATTATAGGATGTGCCAAGAGCTAAGAACCTGATATAAAAAGATAAAGTATTTGAGTCCAGAGAAGCTGCCCTCAACAGCTCTCAAAGAACTATAGAGAATGGGCATCATTGTGTTCTTCAAGTGAGCACTGATGATGGAATTTATCATTTCAAAGAATGAGTCCACCTTGAGTACTTGCTAATGGTCCTCTAGGAATGGTTGTAGTGGGCAATTGGGCAAATGAGATGATTCAAGGATTAGGAGAGCAACTGCTATGAGATCCAGCAAACTTGAGCTTGCTTCTATCTGAATTTCTTCAGGCCAGTCTGGTCCCAGTCACATGGAGAAAACAGGAAAGTTTAGGTGGGTCTCTCCTCCACTAGCATGGGAATTTAGGTCCTGCAGCTAGCCTCAGATGTTGGGTGCTGACGTTGTTCCTGCTTCTTTGCATATCAAAGGATCCTCCTCCCCGCTTCTGCTGTACCCTCTAGTTTCCATTATTAATTTACCTGTTTATTTCAAAATTGCATAGATTATTGTTCTTGAAATTCAAAAGTGTTGGTCCTGAAAGTTCAAGCATGCCTCTGTTTTGAAAACATAAATTTAGGTTGTCATAAACTGGAAGGTAGTGGTGGTTTCTAAGTTTTTTAACAATATTTGGCTCTATGTAATTCAACATAGGTGACCTATCTTCAGAAAAGACAGATGAGCTCAATAAAGATCAGGAAACTGGCTCAAATTTGGAGACAATATTTCCTTTGCTTGCTCTTTTACACTTGGTGAATCACCCTTATGCAGCTATCCAACTTTGCCTAGAGGGAGTTTGCAGTCAACACAAAATCATTACAACACCCGCAGTCCATCGATCTTCTTATTTGATGGTTCTTTTGATTACAGCTGTAAATATCAATAATTCTTCTTGGCATTGATTGTGACATCACCACAGAGCACATAACAAGTATATCTAACATGAAAATGGAGCATAATATCAAACGTAATTTCTAGGGCAGGAAGCAGAACCTTATTATCAATCAAATATTATAAGCTGTCTTTACCTTTTTTCAAGTGTCCTTCCTTATCTGGACCACATTATCAATCTTGAAGGTGGTATTATCATCCCAGTAACAAGCTATAAGCTCTGTGACACTCCTGTGATTTGGCAAAAACCCCTCATGGGAAACAGAACAGCTGCCGACAAGGGCTGATTTCCTCAGTCACACATGTGTCACAGAGAAGGTGTTGACTCAGAGGAGGGACCCGGCAGAGGGTGAGTTAGAGGCAGAGCTATTTCTGAGTGGAGCCATGCAGAGGAACTGCTCACTCATCTATCTCACCCTCTTCTGGACAGGTAAGGTAGATCCTAGAAACTCAATCAAGTAAGACTAACAACAATGAGGCATCAAGAATGCCAGGGCCTGGAGTTCATGGACAGTGCCCCTTACTTGATGATTGTAGTCCCAGTCCTCACTGAGTCCCTGTCATGTCTTTGCTTTCAGGAGTCATGTCAGCTGTCCAGTTGGAACAAGACCAAGAAGTGACTGTGTTCTTGGCGATGTCTGCCACCCTCAGGTGCTCCTTGGAGGGAGAAATGATCAGTAACTACTATATCAGCTGGTACAGGCAGACCGAGGGTAACACAATGACTTACATACACCGAGAAGGGGGAATGTATGGCCGTGGTTTCTTCGGCAAGTTCCGGGCTAGCATTGATAGTTCAAGCAACAAGGCTGAGCTTGAGATCCTTAAAGCATCAGAAAGAGATGAAGGAATTTACTACTGTGCCAGCGACTACCACCCTGCTGCTGGCCCACTTCTGAGCAGCTCAAAAACCATAGAGATCTATGTAGAACAGCAATTTCAACAAGATCATGATTTCATCTTTAATAAATAGTTTAAGAAACGGGGGCCAGAGAAGGCTGATTTTCCTTCACCCTTGGTCACTCAGGAGCTCCCATGTTACTCAAAGAGGCAGCCCCAGTGGGTGTGGCCCAGTATGGGACAGGAGGAGAGACAGAGCCAAAGTCAGGAGCATTCACTGTACACTTTTAACAGTTTTCTTGAAACTTCATAAAAGATTTGGCCCCATACTCAAAGTGTTTAGGGCATTAGATTAAAGGGGCACTTTCTAAAATATGACTACAGGTAATGGATGTCCAGTTTCTCCCCAGTCACATACACCATGAATATAGCTGTTCTGGAAGGGGGGTGGGGGGGAGTGAAGAGAATCCCTTTCTTCAGCATCAACAGTATGCACTGCATTCTGTATTGTTTTGATGATTACTGACAGAATATAGCCTTTTGACCTTCCTTCCTTCTCTACCTCTGTACTTCTATATATATATATGTTAGAAATAAATCCTGGAGAATTTCTTTCTTATCCTTCCGTAGACAACTCAATTTAAACTCCACTTTTATCTTAAACAATGTACTTTCCCAGACTTAGATGATTGACAGACTATTCTGAGGCTGTACCTGTGGCTATCCTTCTGGCCTCATCTAGAATTATCTATCACTAACCTTATAAAATACCTCATTGGAACTTTCAGTGATGATGGATATGTTCAGTAACTTGATTATGGTGATGGTTTCATGGATGTACAGGTATATACAATTTATCAGACTGTGCACTGTGAATATTTGCATTTTATTGCACATCAATAAAGTCAAAAATATTTTTTTAATTTAAAATAAAAATAACTGTCAAAGCCTTATTAGACTACTCCAAGCAATGTTTAGGGAATACTTTCTCCAACTAACACTTCTTATCAAAGATTCTATGATACTTTCCACAAAAGTACAAAAAGACTAACAAGTTTGCAGACACACACAGTTGGTTCCAGTCAGGGCTCCTTACTTGTTTCACCAAGAATATTCCCAAACCTCCCACCTCTCATGATTCTGCCTGGCTTTTCATTCATAGAGAGATAGATAGATAGATAGATAGATAGATAGATAGATGATAGATAGATACACATATATATGCACATATATACATAATGTATATAGTTATAATGTGTAATTATTCTGTGCATTTTAGCCATGACCTCATGAGCTCTTCTCATTTATCTCCCCAAACAGGTACATTTCCAAGAATCTCTCTTTTCAACTCTTTATCTCAAACCCACTCACTCTGTCCTAGTGTCCTAATTCCAACATAGGCCTCTACCTGGCCTCTACCTCACTGCCCCACTCTGTTGAATGGTTTCTCTGGTAAAACTGTCTCAAGGCTCTGAATATTGATTTCTGTCCTTATATAAAATCAGGTTCTCAGATCCCCATCCAGATTGGGCATCTTGAGCCCTACATTATTAGAAGGAAATTTGGATCCAACTTTCCTGGGATGTATCCAAGTTACCACCCACGCCCTATCATACTCATCTAGCCCACTACCTGCTATTCATATCCTGTTGTTCTTCTTTAAATCTATGCTAGATTTAAAGGTGAAGAGCACTTCCAAGACTGAAAGGGTACAATTTTCTCCCTGTTTGAAATCATGACTTTGGAAAAGGAATGACATTTGGAAGCTGATTATGCAGATGCTGTCAAAGTTTTGGTACCATGCTGTTATAAGGTTTGCAAGATGGATTCTTAGGAGGAGACCCAATGGATCCTCTGACAAAAACCTGGAAAAATGTGTTTTAGGAGGAAGAGGAAAATATCTGGGCAAATTCATAAAATTGTATGTTAATTGTGATAACAGCATCTTGCTATTGTTGCCTGCTATAGTCCAGGCACTCTTCTGAGCACTTTACATCTATTCTATTATTTCATCCTCAAAACAATTTTTATTTATTATCCCCATTTTATAAATGAGGACATGAAGGCACAGGAAAGCTAAAATACTTGCCCAAATTTCCAAAGCTAGCAAGGGAAGGCAACAGGTTTCAGACTCTGGAGCGTGTGCTAGAGGACACAGCACGATGGGGGAGCCATAGACAAGGCTACCTCCAAAACGTTAGAAACAGGGATCAACAGGGCTGTGCCCTCACCACCAGACCTGTTCAAACTGATGTTCCTTCCCATTTGTCAAGAAATTGGGATAATGGAACAGTGATCCAGATGATCTGTCAAATGTTTTCTAACTCGGAGACTTGGTGATCCTGACATAAACTTTACACTGTCTTCTAAAACCATCTAGGGTGAGGGTTAAGACTAGGAGTAAGCCTAGGACTATGTTTACAGTTAGGTTTAAAGTTAGTGTTAAAGCCTGAACTAAGGTTCTGCTTAGGGTTGATAAAAGAGTTCCAACTTCCCAGTGTTGTTGTAAAAAGCTAATGACAGAAAGTAAGTAAATTGGGTGGCACATATAGCACTAGTCAATAAATGCTACATATATATATATATATATATATATATATATATATATATATATATATATATTTTATTTTTTTTTAAAGAGGAAACTAAACAATGAAATAATTGAGGAAAAAGTGAACTAAAATGCTGAGTGCTGACAAGATGCAACCACTTGTTTTTCATCTTTTCCCCCCATTTTAGTGTGGTGACACTAGTTAACAAAATTATACAGGTTTTGGGTGCACAATTCCACAACACATCATCTGTATACTGTACTGTGTGCTCCCTATGCCAAGTCAAGTCTCCTTCCATTACCATTTATCCCCCTCCCTTCTCCCCACAATCGCCACACTAAAGATGCAACCACTTTTCAGGTGTGGACTCACTCAGTCCTTATGACAACCTCATAAGGTGGTTACTCTCAGCTCCATCTTACAGATGGGAATACTGAGCCTCAGGGGGACTAGGTAGCTTCCTGAAGGTTACAGAAGCAATGCCAAGAACTGGGTCTGAGTCAAAGGCTGCCTGTCCTGGCACTGGGCTAGGGGCTGTGGGATATACTATAGTAATGCATCACCTGTAACAATATCAAAATGAAAGAAGAGCTGGGAGCAGGTGTGTAAAGTCCAATCATCTGTGTGATGCAGGGGGTGCCTTTGACTCCTGGGCCATCCCCACAAGGGGATGGGGGTGGAAATAACTAACTCCTCCCACCTCCCAACTCTCCCTCCCCTGCTTTCAAACACCAGTTGCAATTTCAGCTCCCAGGCTGCTCTCCTGAGATGCCTCATTCCCTGGGTTGAAGGAGGACAGCGGCTACCCATGGCATGGGAAATGACCCCATACCTCTCCTTCCTAATGCTTGTGGAAGGCAATACCTTGTCAGACTCTCTGGGTCACTAATGCAATGACTGCCTTCTCTTTTACTTCTCAGGGCCTGCCTACAATGGCAGTCCAGGGGTCTGTGGCCAGTGGGATGAGAGCTAGAGAAACTCCATGGGTCTCTGGCAGGTCCACAAAATTGCTAACCTTACCATCTACAGTACAGTGAGGCAGAGTGTCTGAGTTGGTCTCTTCCATTCTCTCTGTTTTATTATTACTTTTACTGGTATACCAAGGCAGCAAAGGCCTCAAGACCTATTGTCCACAGTTCTCTACATTCATAATGAGCAAACTGACGCCAGAAAGCACAGCAGTGAATTAAGGTGCAGGAGCCACCATGTGAAAGAGAGTTGAGTTCAAGCCAAACTTAACCTGTTTCAGAGGGAGTCTGAGCCTGATGCAGTGTCTGACAGGAGTGAGGCCTGATAATCTGTCCGCACTGACAAGATGAAGACTCTTCAGAATCCAGGCTTCTTTCCTGCTCTTCCTAAAACAGTCTATTGCCTCCAAATGTTGCTTGAAATGACAGGAATATGCATCTCTGATTTTTTTTGCAAGATACTTTATTCATCCCTCTTGCAGATACCATCCCTCCTTTCTGCTTAATTGTCCCCCATAGCATTTATTACTATTTGATGTGCTATATATTTTACTTCCTTATTTATCTGTTATCTAGCTCTCCACTGGAATACAGCTCCAAGAGGCAGGGATTTTGCCTGTTTTGTTTATTGCCTTACCTCCAGCACTGAGAATAAGTCTGGCACAAAATGGGCAACCAACAAATGTGTGGAATGAGCAAGTGAGTGAAGCATTGAATGAGTGAGTACTACATTCCCTACCCTGCGCTGGAAGCTGGGGATGCAGCAGTACACAACACTGGTGCTAGCATTGCCCTCTGAGATGCTTTCTCTAAGCCTCGTCTAGCCACTAACAAAATGCTATTGACTGTAACAAGAATGTCTGAAGGGTAACTAACAGAGTACTCTAGAACACCAAGTTACTTAACCCTTGGCAAGCAGACATCCTGTGCCTGTGTTCCTTGCACATCCCCCATGGCAGGAGTAAAATGGGGAAGATAGCAGGCTTTCTCCTTCCACTACCTTTTCTTTCCTTTTAATCCCAAGGCCCCAGGCCTTGAGGCTTGGACTGTCAGAGAACATTTCTACTTTATTTTTAAGGGATTTTGCAAACTTTTTCTCCAAACAGACCTGCTGGGTAAATTAAGCCACAATAACACCTTTCCTAAACCAAGAGTAATTCCTAACTCCCCCTCGTTCCCCCATTCACCACCACCAAATGATTTGGGCGTTCTTCAAAAATGCAGAATCTGGGTTCTTTTTTTTTTTTTAGAAGTTCACACATACACAAATGCATTATGGATGGTAGCGGCATACAGTAAGTAGTGTGTATCAAACACTGAAGGAATTCTCTGAACGCATATCCCAGATTCTCAAGAGCTCCCAAGGAGCAGCATGCCTGGTGACAGGACAAAGGAAACCAAACCAAAAAAGCAATTGCTTTTTAAATAAGACAGGTTCTCAAACTGTTTAAAAAAGAAATCTAATAGCCTTAAGTTTTCAGTTTACTTGCACACATGTGGGAAAATAGGAAAGTTTAAATTATTATTTTCTGCTTTAAG